GCTGACCCCCACCCCCAGCCTCACGCCACGGCAAACTTATTTTGTTAAGGACAAACCCGCGCTGCACACGCGCACCCCGACTCCCTCCCGACCACGGTCGTCATCTCCATAGGGCGAGGCGTCGGCCTGGCTCTGGGTGCAATCCCTGCAAGCTCTTGCCCTGCTCCCAGCCCCTCGCAGTGCCCTGACTTCCTGTCTGGGATTGGTAATCCTTCCCAGGAGAGGGCTAGAAACAGCAGGCAACCTTATGGGGGTGGGAGGGAGTGCCTGGCTCATCTTCAGCCCCTCACAGCCCCAGTCGGATGTGTATTGGGAATCCTGGTGTTCCAGGTCCCTCCCTGATGGGCTCCAGATGTGCTTGCATCTGGGAAGGCCATCCCAGGAAACCGATGCTCCCGCCCACAGCTCCCACCCCGGATGGATCTCTCCTCCAGCCCCCAGGTTCCCCCCCACCCCCAGCACAGAAGCCTCAGACACTCCTTTCCTCTCCAGAGGTAGGTACAGGGCAGCGAGGGGGAGAGAAAGGATGGAGAGTAATGGGGGTGGGGAGGGATGAGCAAATAAAATGAGGTCAACGTTTAGAACACCCCAGAGAATCGTGTTTCCCTTTTAACTTCCTATCTGGGGTTGTTACATTTTGCTGTAGAATTCTGTTCAAGAAAAACTGAAGAGGGTTTGGAAGGGAAGACTCTAGCTGGGATGGAGGAAATTCCGTCCCATTGATCGGCTTGTTTCGCGTCCCCGGCCTCCCTGTCGCCCTACTCCTCTCCCATCGGTGCCGTCCTCTGGTCCCTGTCCCTCTGTCTCTTCCCAGCCTAGCCCAGCTGGGGAGATTTCCCAGGTTGGCTCCTCCAGAGGGACCTGGTCCCAGTCTCAGTCCCCAGGTTCGGAGCCCTGGAGCACCAAGGGAACTCAAGCACCTTATGTCCCGGGACTGGTCTTGTCACCCTCGCAAAAATCTTTCATCCAGCCCTCCCGTGCTCTGAGCAAAGTGGGGGTGGAGAGGGGAGGGGAGTCTGGGTTTATTTTAGGTCTAGGACATGGGGGAGGGGGTTCTTCCCACCAGACAGGGAGTGGGGGTGGCGGGTGGTGACTCACAGATGACGGAGCCATCGGTTCCCCCTGGCTGAGGCCTGAGTCAGGGCAGTGACACGGCCCAAGGGCTCGCACGGCAGCTCTCGTGCCTCGCTCGGTGCTAGCAGGCCCTGCACTCAGGCTCCTGGGCTGACTGGGCTCCGACTGTACCTCCAGGGATTCCCTCTGCCGCTCCAGAAGCTTCCTACGCATCCCTCCTTCCGTCCCTCTCCGAGAACGGCTCCCACTCATCACCCCACCACGAGGCAGAGGGACCGGGACCCCCAGGCCAAAGCCAGGAGCCACAGGCCACTCACTGAACTCCCCTGGTCCCTTGGTGCAGAAAACTCTTCCCAGTCCTGATTCCGGTGACACTGAGAACGTGATGTTGGCACAGTCGCCCGGAGTAAGCGAGAGCCCCCAGCCCGGGGTCGGGGCACCCCCAGCTCCCTCCAGGCTACGAGGCCGAGGCTGGAGGGGATTGGCGTCTGTCCGGGCACACCTACAACCCACTAGTGTGTGCAACCACAGGCCAGCGAGGAGACCTCACTCAGCCCAGCCCACCCGACCAGGCTTCTTACAGACCCAGCAAGGCTGGACTCTACCCATTGGAACCAGGACATCAGCCTCAGCGGTTCTTAGAATTTGCAGGCATTTGAGAATCCAGAAAACACCTGAGTCTGGCCCCAGAGAAATCACATGCATGCGCACAAAACCCCCAGGGACCTTCAGAGGGCTGATGGATTGTGCCCCCGTGTCTCCCCCCCCCCCCGGCCCGGGGCCAGTGGACCTAGGCTAAGGATCCCTGCCCCAGAATCTTCCCTCCGTAGAAACCCGGCCCCGCTTAGAAGGCTAAACTGACAGAAGAGCCACAATTTTGGAATCCGTTGGGATTGAATTCGGATTTACCTCTGCCCCTTTCTTTCTATAAGTCACTTCACTTATAGTCACTTCACTCTTTGGGCCTCAGTTTCTTTTGTTTTTGTTTTTGTTTTTTTCTTTTAAGATTTATTTATTAGGGCAGCCCGGGTGGCCCAGCGGTTTAGCGCCGCCTTCAGCCCAGGGCCTGATCCTGGAGACCCGGGATCGAGTCCCACATCGGGCTCCCTGCGTGGAGCCTGCTGCTCCCTCTGCCTGAGTCTCTGCCTCTGTGTGTGTGTGTGTGTGTGTGTCTCGTGAATAAATAAATTTTTTAAAAAAAGATTTGTTTATTAATTTGAGAAAAAGCAGAGTGAGCAAGTCGGGGAGAGGGGCAGCGGGGCAGGACCCCAGGACCCCGGGATCACGACGCCAGCCAAAGGCAGACACGTCACCGACTCGGCCCCCCAGGCCCCCCCCGGCCCCCCCCGGGCCTCAACTTCTTGATAGTAAAATGAAGATCGTGATACCTGCAATGCTGGACAGTTGGGAAGGTTAAGTGGGATAAAGGCGGGTTCAAGGTCAAGCACGGGGCCAGACACGTAGCACACGTGAGAGACCATTAATACCACGTCCCTGTCCCTATTTAGACTGCGCATGGCTCCTGGCTTCAGAACCGGCGCCTCTGCCCGTGGACTCGTCCTGCTCTGAGGCTGCAGGCGGGCGGGTGACAGCAGGGGCCGGGTGAGCGGCCTGCCCTTGCCCGTCACTCCTCGGCCCCTCCGTCAAGCAGGCTGTGATCACGAATAGTCCATCGTCACAGCAAATCACCCCTACTGAGCCATGAAGGGACACAGAGGTCGGATCTGAGAGACAAAACAGAGACCCTGGGAGACACGCGGGCTGGGCAGAGACAAGCTGCGGGACACACAGAAGCGCTGAGAGGAGACAGCACGCAGAGGTCACTTGGCTGAGAAGAAAGGGCACTGGGTTTAGAGTCAAAACACTTCAGTTCTAGGTCCACCTCTCACTGGCTAGCCGTGTGACCTTGGATAAGTCACTTCGTCCGTCTACACCGTTTCCTCTTCTGAAAGAGAGGGTTGGGCTGATAAGCTGTAGGTTAAGGCCCTCCGGCGGCTCCTCTGAGGCCAACTTCCAGCTGCAACCAGGAGGGAAGAGCGCGCCGGGCCTACCCCGGAAGCAGGGGAAAGCAGGAAACCGGGAAAGGCAGACAGGGGGAGAGGAAAGGCAGGAGGTGTTGGGGCCACCGGGACAGGACTTATAAGGGCAGAGAGAGCCAGGAGAGGAGGGATATTGGGGAGAGTAGAAAAGCCAGCCAGAGAATGACTAAGGGGCTCCCGGTATAAACAGGAGCGGGGGACGGACAGGGAGGGGGCCTGTTTGAGTTGGCCAAGGCTGGGGGTGTGGAGTGAGGAGGAGGACTGGGCCAGGACACTGTGTCCCCTGTGCCCCACCAAGGCTCCTGGGAGGAGCTGAGTCACACACCTCCTCCCCCAGCCCCTCCCCGCCCCGCCCCCACCCCAAGCTCCCAAATCCTGGGAAAAATCTAAAGATTCTGTGCGGAATCCCACTGAAAAGTGAGAGCGCTGGGCTCGTACACTTGTGCCTTGCGGGGCTGCACAGCAGTGGGGCCGCAGCCCCTCTCCCCGGGCGTGAGCAGTTCTCTTCTCGTCCAGAGGTCACCTTCGGGGCCGGGGGTGCTTACGGCTCTGACCCAGAGATTCCTTGGGTTCCTCCCCCAAGAAAGGGCCAGGACCTGCAGATGCGAGAGGGACGGGGGGGCCAGCATCACCCCGCAATCTGACCCGCCGGCCTCTCCCCTGGGCTGCAGCTGGCTCTGGAGAGGGGCTTTTAGAAAACAGCTGGGTGATCTGGGACAGGAAGTAGGGCAGCAGAATGAGGAGGACGCTCCCCTGGAAGGAAAAAGCGTGGATTCTGGGCACTTTCCTTCTGAGTCCCCCAGGCCAGAGTGGGGCAGGGGCCTGCGGAAGAGACGGAAGAGACGGGGCAGGGTTTGATTTGGGGGATTGGGGAGAAGTCCTGGGGGGGGGGCGTGGCTGGGAAACGTAGGAAGGGGGCCGGGAGGGAAAAGTTAGGAGAGAACCTAGGCCCCTTGGTCCCCCTCCCCCAGACTAAGATAAAGACTAGAATCCTGAAAGGTGATCTCATCACGCAGGGCCAGGGCCGGGCTGGGGGAAGGGGTGGGCAGGGGGTCACTGGCTTCCCTTGCTAAGAGTCCTTTCCTGGACGCCCACAGGGGACGGGGGGATAGTGGGGTCTGGGCTCCAGCTCCCAGAACCTACAGGTGGGGCCCGTTTGTGAGACACCACGACGGCCACCCTGCTACCCCGCTCTACGGCTCTTTTTTTTAAAGATTTATTTATTTACTTATTTACTTATTTATTTATTTATTAGAGAGAGAGAGAGAGAGAGAGGCAGAGGCCCCGGAGGAGGGAGAAGCAGGCCCCATGCAGGGAGCCCGGTGGGGGACTGGATCCCGGGACCCCTGGGTCACGCCCTGGGCCGAAGGCAGGCGCCAAACCGCTGAGCGCCCGGGGACCCCCCACCCTACAGCTGTTGAGGTTTATAGGAATCAGGCCAGTCTGATGGGGAAGGTGCTGGGGGGCCAGAGGCCCCGTGTCCCAAGCGCGCCCCAGGCCGTTGGTGCCCCTCGGGCCGGCAGGGGGTGTCCTGGGGCAGCCGGGTGGGTGCGCCCCGCGTCCCGGGGCGTCGAGTCCTGCAGCTGGGGGGGCCCAAGGCGGGGGGGGGGGGGGATGTGCTGCTCCCGGGGCGGGCGGGGCCCCCACAGCCCCCCCGCGGGGCGACGCCTTCCTCTTTAGGAAATCGCGCGCTCGCTGTCCCCGACTCGCGCCTCCGGGGCGGGGGGGGGGGGGGGGGGGGCGGGGGGGGGAGGGAGGGGGAGGGGCGCCCCGACGGACGGCCTCCCGGGGCCGCGAGGGGCGTGGGGCCGCGGGGGAGGGCCCAGGGGCGGCGCAGGCTCCTCCCCGCGCTGAGTCGGCGGCGGCGGAGGCTCGGGCGGCCGCTCGGTCCGGGCCGGGAGCGCGCAGGGCGATGCGGGGCGCGGGGCTCCCCGAGGGCGCGGCCGGGGCGCGAGGTCCCCGCGGGCGCCCGGCCCCGCCGCTGCCGCCGCTGCTGCTGCTGCTGCTGCTGCTGCCGCCGCCCCGGGCCGCGGGCTTCAACCTGGACGCCCAGGCCCCCGCCGTGCTCTCGGGGCCGCCGCGCTCCTTCTTCGGCTTCGCCGTGGACTTCTACCGGCCGGGGGCGCGCGGGTGAGCTCGGGCCGGGCGGGGCCTGCGCTGGGGTCGGGGCCGCGGGCAGGGGAGCGGAGGGCAGGGCGGGGCGGGGCAGGGCAGGGCAGGGCAGGGCAGGGGGCCACGGTGCAGCGGCGGGGGCTCCGCGGGCTCCGGGCCGGCCTCCCCTCGGCTCCCCTCCGCTCCCCTGAGCTCCCCTGTACTCCCCTCGGCTTCCCTCCTCTCCTCTCTACTTTGCTCCCCTGTACTCTCCTCGGCTCCCCTCCTCTCCTCTCCTCTCCCCTCGGCTCCCCTCCTCTCCTCTCCTCTCCCCTCGGCTCCCCTCCTCTCCTCTCCTCTCCCCTCGGCTCCCCTCCTCTCCTCTCCCCTCGGCTCCCCTCCCCTCCTCTCTACTTTGCTCCCCTGTACTCCCCTCGGCTCCCCTCCTCTCCTCTCCCCTCGGCTCCCCTCCTCTCCTCTCTACTTTACTCCCCTCTGCTCCCCTCCTCTCCTCTCTGCTCCCCTGTACGCCCCTGTGCTCCCCTCCCCTCCTCTCCTCTCCCCTCCGCTCCCCCCAGCTCCCCTGAGTTCCCCTCATCTCCTCTCTCCTCTCTGCTCCCCTCCCATCCTCTCCCCTCCTCTCCCCTCCGCTCCCCTGTACTCCTCTCTTCTCCTCTCCTCTCCGCCCCCCTGTACTCCTCTTCTCTTCTCCTCTCCTCTCCTCTCTACTTTGCTCCCCTGTACACCCCTGGGCTCCCCTCCTCTCCTCTCTCCCCTCTGCTCCCCCCTCCCCTCCTCTCCTCTCCCCTCCTCTCCTCTCCCCTCCTCTCCTCTCTCCTCTCTGCTCCCCTCCCCCCTCTGATCCGGCACCCCAGGACCCGCAGGGGGAGGGCTCCATCCCGACAACGGGGGCCCGGCAGCTTGGGACCCTGAGTCCTGAGCCCGGACCGGCCCAGGGGCGCCGGCGGCTGGGCCAAGGGCGGGCCTCGGACTTGCCGGGAGGGGCAAGCGCATGGAGGGGCGGCCCCCCTTCGTCCTGCTCCAGGGAGGAAGAGAAATGCCGATTTCCTGTCGGCTGTCGGACTCCGGGCCGGGGTCGGAAGCAGGGGCGCCGGGGCTCGGGACCTGGGGGACCTGGGCACCGGGGCGCAGCACAGGGGGTCGGTCCCAGTCCCGGTCCGGGTGCCTGGAGAGCGGGAGTCCGCAGACCCGGCCCCGGCCCTGGAACAAGGGGGTTTGTTAAACGTGGGGCCCGGGGAGCAGGAGGGACGGTGGCGGCTCCCACTGCCAGGTCCCAGACCCTCCAGTGGCCAGAAACCGCCCCCCTTGGTCCCCACCGCCACCCCGACCCCTGGGCCCCGGCCCTCCACGGGACCTCGGTCACACTGAGCTGTTTTGTACCTGGTGCAGCGAACCGCTCTCTACTCACTTTCTTTAAATTTCTGGAGAAGTTTGAGTTACTCTAGCTAACTTAGTGGGGGTGCGGGTGTGCACATTTCTCCTTTGTCTGGAGATGGCAAAAAAGAAAGATGGTTAGGCCCCAGCTGTTGGTTCTGCGCTATTCAAGGTCCCCACCCAACCCCCACCCCACCCCCCTGGCCTCCTGCCCAAACCCCATTGCATCACCCTGGCCTGGAGCCTCTGCCAGGCCTGGCCTCCCCCAGGCCCCTCACACTGCTTACCACAACCCTAATGGAGCAGGGAAGAGGGAGGCAGGGAGGGGATGCGGTCCTCCCCCACGTGGGGACAAGTCCAGTGGTCTGGCCCTTAACCCTCCTCGTGGTCCACCCCCACGCCCACCCCCACCTCGCCAAAGTGTCATCTCCCCTTTACAAGACTCCTGTACAACATCTGGACTTTCACACACTCCCGTTCCCTAGGTGTCTGTCTGGCCGCTGGCCCGGTCCTACAGTCCCCGCAGCAGCCTTCTCACCCCGACCCCTCCCCTTCTGCTCATCTCCCCTCCCGAGAGAACCCAGGTGTCCAGCCTGCAGCCCTCCCCGCTCATTTTCCCCCACAGTACACCCTTAGAGTAGGACCGGGAACCATCCACTTCCCCCAGGACCGCAGCTGGGCCTTCAGCCCCTCCGTACCCACCGGGGACAAATACAGCTCCCGACCGGGGACCTGGGCCTTCGCCAGAGAGGGCGGGCCTCAGGGTTCCCGTTGGCCCTGCCACCTCTCACGGGGACACTGAAGGGGCATCAAAGGGCCCGAGAGGGGTTACCTGGTAGGAAAGGGTCACACTGCGAGTCCCACAGTGCTGGGAGTGCATCCTGGCCCCACCACTCCTTCGCTCCTTCCTTGTGTGACCTGGGGGCGACTTACCTTCCCTCTGCATTTCACGGTGTTTTCAAGAAAATCAGACACCTCGTCTACAAGGCTGCCTGAGGACTTAGGGAGACAGTGCACCCCCAGAAGGCACCTGGTCCGCAGGCAGAGGGTGATCAGTACCCTCTGGGAGGCATGATTTTTACCAGCTAGCTGTTTTCAATTTCTGGGTGTCTCCTCCCGGGGTATCACCTGGTTCTTTGCCTAACTTTTCCCCCCACTTCTTTCTTGCTTCTAGTATTTGCTTCTAGCGCCGATAGTAATAATGGTCCCTCACATTCCTTAGCACCGTCACATCAATTTTTCCATTGGATTGTTAACAAAAATCCTTGCATTTGACATAGGAAACAGTACCGTCCCGTTGTATGTGTGTGTATATATATATACTGAAACTTCAGGAATCGTAGAAATCGGCTTAGGGACTGTTCAGGGGCACCCGTCATTTGATGGGGGAGAATCCAGAGCTTGGAGAGAGGTGCTGTGGCCCAGGTCACCAGCTGGAAGGGTGCCCCGTCTAAGCCCAGCTCCTCATTCTCTTCGGGCACTGGCACTGCCACAGGTGGGTGCAACTCTTCCTCGCCAGCCCGCCGGGCACATCTCTTGAGAATACACTGGGGGGGTCTAGATGTCCTCGTCAGGCCTGGCCAGGGCTGCCGGAAGGCCTGCAGGAGCTGGGTCCCGGGCCACTCGCTTCCCCCCACCCCCGACCTTGCCAGGCCAACAGAGTCAAACAGTAACCGTGTATTGAACAGGAACTTGGTTAATCAGAAGCCTGGCTGGGGAGATAGTAGAGGGGAGACAGGGGGGTAAGTTGGCAACAGCGTAGACCAAAACGTTGGCCGAGGAAGGGAGATTCTTAGCTTCCGGTTCTTATTTCGGGAAGGATTCTGAGTGACCTTGGACATGTTGCTTAACGTCTCTGGGACTTGGTTTTCCCATCTGTAAAATGAGAACATGGGACTAGGTCTTTAGGTTTTTTTGTTTTTTTTTTTTTTAGTTAAAATTTTTTCTTTATTTCCTTTATTTTTGTTTAAAACAAATGATATCCTACCAGGGCATTCTCTATACAGCGGGGAAAAGAGCTTGCTCTGAAAGAAGATGAGGAGGTGGGTCAGGACCAAGCCAGCCTCCCCGGACTCCATGTGGCCGGCCTGGGGCATCTACATGACAGGCTGCAAACCCGCGGCTGCTCCCTGTGGTGCCTCAGAGCAGTGGCGGGCTGGGCTGTGGCTCCACGAGCCAATTCCTGGTTTTTATCAACTAGAAGGTAGAACAAGAAGACGGCCACCGCCGCCAATCAGAGCTTCTGACCAGTGTGTGATAACCGGCTTCCCCCAAATGTTGATTGAATTTTGGCCAAAAGCAAACGCGCTTGAGGTTCTGATTTAGCCCAGCCACCTTATCAGGTAAAGGCATGATTTCGATTAGGCTTTCCGAAATATTGCAAATAGCCTAAGACCGTCCCCTGGTCCATTGGTACCTTGGTGGCCCCAAGAGGGCCCGACTGCTGCAGGATTTAGGAGGCAAGGACTGGGAGTGGGGGGACGAGGATAAGCTGCGGGGCCTGGCCTGGCTACTCTGACCCCAGGCACCGGGCGGGGCGCTATTTATTGGGATGGAAGGGCCACTGCACCCACAGGCATACGTCAGGGTGGGGGGCGGGGGTCTGGGTCTGGGTCCCTTGCCCGCAGGCCAGGCCTCCTGAACTGCCAGACGGGTGCAGACACTGCCCTGGCCCCAAGCCTGGGGGCTTCAGAGGCTTTGTAAAGCGTCTCTGACCTTCCGCCCCTGGCGAACCCCAGGCTGCTTCCTCAAGCCATCTGGGGGCGCTCAGGCTGGCGTCCTCATCAAGACCAGGGGTTTGGGAAAACTGGGAGTGGGAGCGGGGTCCCTTGGCTGCCGCCCTGTGCCCTCCCGCACCTGGACTCTCGGAGCTCCGGGAGGCCTCCTCACCTGGAGAGCGCGGAGGGGTGTCGCCCCAGGGCGCCCCGAGCGGAGCGGGGTTGGGCGCCAACCCCCACGGCCCTTCCCTGGGCCTGCGCCTCTGCCCCCACCGCCCACCCCGGCCTTCCTAGCAGCCCCCCCTGGTGTGATGGCTGAGTGAGAGGGGTGGGGCCGGCGGGTGGGAGACAAACGGAGAAGTGAGAGGTTGGAAACAGACAGGAAGCCACAGGCAGTAAACATTTCCTGTCCCCAGGGTAACCAGGGGCGCACCCCACCCCCTTCCCTCCAGGAACTCTCCCTCTCCGGCCCCCTCCTGTCCTCCGGACCCTGCCTTCCCTTCGCCCCCCTCCCTCCTCAGCCTCCGGCCCCTCCTGCCCACCCCTCGCCCCTATCCCCATCCCCTATTCCCCTAAGCCCCCCCCCCCCCCCCCCCCCCCCCCCCCCCCCCCGCCGCACCTGGCCCCCTGGCTCCGGGGCCCTCCACCATTAGGCACTCGCGCTCTCTCCGGGAAGGAGGGCTCGGGAACATTCCCGAATACCAGGGAAGCCATGGTACGAGGCCTGTGGAAAGCTGAGAGAGGCCAGAAGCCAGTAGAGATGGAAAAGCCCAAGATCTGACATCAAGAGAGAGAGGACGGGGGAAGCCAAGACAAAGAAAGCGAGTAGTCCTGGGCCAGAGGGACAGTGAGAAGCTGCGCCAGAGGCAGGGGGGAGGAGAGCGGAGCCCCGCGGTCAGGGGCCCCGGCCCAGGCTGCCAGGTGCGGTGCTGGGGGACACCGTGCGGGAGCAGAGCACAGGGCTCATGGCTGCCCAGGGGCGACAGGGACGTTGACAGCCGCGGGGGGGGGGGGGCAGAGCCGAAGGCAGGAAAGCTTGCCCAGGACCTTAACCGTGCCCAGCCAGGCCTTGGCGCCCCAGCAAAGGCAGCTTCCTCCTCAAGGTCTCGCCCCCGTTTCGGAACCGAGAGCCCCGTAGAGCAAGATCTGGCTTCAGACTCCTAGGGATGGTGTGTAGGATGGGGGTTCAGGGGCCGAGCAGGAACCTGGCCAAGACGGGGACGTCCACCCCGAGAGCCCAGGGCAGGCAGGCCCGGGCCCGGGGGGGTGTGTCCTCGCCGCCCTCCACGCTCCTCTCGCCACTTCTGCACACTGATTTCCAGGACTCACATTTTCCTGCTACACGCCCCAAGCCGGGCAGTCGGACGCCCGGGTCCTGGCCCGGAGAAGGGCTTTGGCTTGGGACGGGAGGGCAGAGGCTACGTGAGCGGACCCCACAGCTCGGGGGCTGCGTGTCCCGTCCTGCAGACCACGGGGAGATGGGGAGGCCGGGGCCCAGGCTCTCTGGCCCCTGTTCCCTTCCCAGAGTGGACTCTGGTTCCCCATCTCTCGCAACATGTGCTGGTGTTAGTGACAGCGGCACATGGGGACCGCCTGACTCCAGCCTGGGCCTCTGGCATCTGTGGCATCTCCTGAGATATAAATACAACCAGGGGGCATCCACCCACCCCCGGCCAGCCCCGGGCCCAGCAGCGGGGGAGCCGGAGGGGAGCTGGGGGTCACTGCGTCCTTTCCCTCCGCAGGGTCAGCGTGCTGGTGGGCGCGCCCAAGGCTAACACCAGCCAGCCGGGAGTGCTGCAGGGGGGTGCCGTCTACCTCTGCCCCTGGGGCGCCGGCCGGGGCCACTGCACACCCATTGAATTTGACAGTAAAGGTAACCCCTGTGGGCAGGAGGGGACGCCCGGAGGGGACGCCCCGGTGGCCGAGCGAGGCTGGAGCCCGCCCTGCCGGGCCGCGTGTCCCGCTCGGGCTGCAGCTCCGCCTGGTGCAGGCTCCTCGGCGGCCCGGCCCAGCCCAGGAGGGCGGCGTGATTCAGAAACATGTGGCTCTCATTTCCCCTGAATCACCCACAGCTCTGGGAGGCCGGGCAGCACACAGACAAAGGCAGGGAGAGTCACACAGGCTTTGCAGTTGGTCCCGCCGAGCGCTAAGCGACGGTGCCGGGAGCTCGGTCCCCGCACACGCGGCTGCATGGGACGGAGGCCCAGGGAGGCCCAGGGAGGCCCAGGGAGGCGGACAGACAGGAGCGCCGGCCAGCACTTCCGGGCGCTGGCTCACTGCTGTGAGGCTTGCGCACCTCCACGGCTTGGTCCTGCCCCGGGCGAGGTATGGGCCCGTTTCATAGGTGAGGAAGCAGAGGTGACTCGCCCGGGGTCCTGCAGCCAGTGTACGGGGGAGCAGGGACGCGAACGGTCCAGCTCCAGAGATGACGACCAAGACCGAGTGAGGAGACAAAAAGAGGAGAGCTGTTTTTTTAAGATTTTATTTATTTATTTACAAGAGACACAGAGAGACAGAGGCAGAGACACAGGAGAGGGAGAAGCAGGCTCCATGCAGGGAGCCCGACGTGGGACTCGATCCTGGGACCCCAGGATCATGCCCTGAGCTGAAGGCAGATGCTCAACTGCTGAGCCACCCGGGCTGCCCAAAAAGAGGAGAGATTGGGATCCCTGGGTGGCGCAGCGGTTTGGCGCCTGCCTTTGACCCAGGCGCGATCCTGGAGACCCGGGATCGAATCCCACGTCGGGCTCCCGGTGCATGGAGCCTGCTTCTCCCTCTGCCTGTGTCTGCCTCTCTCTCTTTCTCTCTCTGTGACTATCATAAATAAATAAAAATTTTAAAAAAAATTTTTAAAAAGGAGAGATTTAAAAAAGAGAGAGAGAGAGAATGGTGTAGGCAGGAAGAGCATGAAACTGACTTTTTTTAGCAGACATTAAATCGAAGGAAAGCAAAAAAGCACCCCATGGAGGGCAGAGAAAGGGTCTGGAGAGACAGCCCAGAGATGTGAGAAAGGCCTAGAACAGGGATGGAGCAAGGTGCCGTAGAGGCACAGGCCCAGGTACAGAGAAGTGCAGCCGGGACCACCCTGACCTGGGATGGCCTTCCCAGCCCGTCCTGCAAGCACCTGGCCTGGGCCATGAGGCTGGAGCACCAGGGAAGGCAGCCCCAGAAGCCCAGGTTCCCAGCGCTTGTGTGTGTGCGTGCACGTGTGTGTACAGGTGCATGTGTTCAGGTGTGGGTGCAGGTGCATGTGTGCAGGTGTCTGTGTGCAGGTGCCTGTGTGTGTGCAGGTGTGTGTGTGCCAGTCTGTGTGCAGGTGCCTGTGTGCAGGTGTCTGTGCATGTGTGCAGGTGCAGGTGTGTGTGTGCAGGTGTCTGTGTATGTGTGCAGGTGTGTGCGTGCACACACACGTGTCTAGGGGAGGGCTGAGTCAGGCTCCACAAAGCAGACGCTGAAGCCCCTTCCCCAGTCCCCCCAGTGAGTCCCGGGGCTCAGGGCTTGCAAGCGCCTGGGCGCCCCGAGCGCTCGGTCAGCCACGGCCCAGCGCGACCCCTTCTCCCGTTGAAGGCTCTCGGGTCCTGGAGTCGTCGGTGTCCAGCCCGGACGGGGAGGAGCCTGTGGAGTACAAGTCCTTGCAGTGGTTCGGAGCGACGGTTCGAGCCCACGGCTCCTCCATCCTGGTGAGGGCCCGGGGCGTGGGCAGGGGTTGAACGCGGTGGGGCTGTGGAGGCGAGAAGCCCGGGCTGACCTGGAGCGCCCCCCCCCCGGGCCCCGCCAGGCCTGCGCGCCCCTGTATAGCTGGCGCACGGAGAAGGAGCCGCTGAGCGATCCCGTGGGCACCTGCTACCTCTCCACGGACAATTTCACCCGAATTCTGGAGTACGCACCTTGCCGCTCAGGTAGGGCAGGAGGCGGCACCGACGCTGCCTCCCCTCCATCATCCCCCCCCCAGTTGGCCTTCCTGACCACTCCCTGGTCCGGGGCGGCCCCCTCTCGGGTTCCCGTCGCCCCTCGTCCCCTCACGCGAGGCCCATCTGTGCTGGGCTCCTCGCCGCCACCCTCTCCCCCCACCCACAGACTTCAGCTGGGCCGCGGGACAGGGCTACTGCCAAGGGGGCTTCAGCGCGGAGTTCACCAAGGTGAGGGGGCGGTCGGGGGCGCGGGGCTGCGGGCGGCGGCGTCACGGGGCGCCAGCACCACACGCGGACCCTGTTCTTCCCCCACAGACCGGACGTGTGGTCCTGGGTGGGCCAGGGAGCTACTTCTGGCAAGGTGAGTCCCTCCCGGGCGCTCGCGCGGCCCTGGCACACGGCCTGCCACCTGCCCCCTGCCCGACGTCCCCTCTGCCCCGGCCCGATTCTCCTCTCCCTTTCCTGAGACGCGTTCAGCCGTCCCCGCCGCCCCCCACGGCTTCCCTCCCCGGGCCCCCTCCCCGCCGCGTCCAACTCCTCGTCCCCTTCCCCAGGCCAGATCCTGTCTGCCACGCAGGAGCAGATCGCAGAGTCCTATTACCCCGAGTATCTGATCAACCTGGTTCAGGGGCAGCTGCAGACCCGCCAGGCCAGCTCCATCTACGACGACAGCTACCTGGGTGAGCGAGCCGGGGGGCACCTCGGGGGGAGCCCCTCAGGACCCCCGGCCTCTCCCCTCCCGCTCAGGCGCCCCGGGCCCTGGGCCGCAGTCGTGTGCAGGCTGCCTTGGAGGCCGGGCGGGGGGACGGAGCCGGGGTGGGGGGGCGCAGCACAGGGGCCCCACGGGGACACTCACGTCCACCACCGTGTCCCCCAGGGTACTCTGTGGCGGTGGGCGAGTTCAGCGGTGACGACACGGAGGGTGAGTGTGCGCCCGGGCGGGGCCAGGGGACGGGATGCGTGGGCCGCGGGAGCCGAGTTGTCATCACCCCCCCCCCACCCCCAGCCAGCCCACAGCTTTCTCTTCTCTCTGCAGACTTTGTCGCTGGCGTGCCCAAGGGGAACCTCACCTACGGTTACGTAAGCCTCAGCTTGACCCCCCCTGCCCTCCCCTCCCCTCCCCTGGCTTAGCTCCAAGAGCCCGGCACGGCAGGGGGAGAGGGTGAGGGCTCCGGGGGGCGCACTGGGGACGGATCAGTGTCCTGACCCCTGGCCCGCTTCATCCCAGGAGCCCTGCAGCCGGCCGAGCCTCTCTTGAGCCCGCTTCCCCTCCGTGTAATGGGCTAATAATGGTCGTGAGCTCACGAGGCTCCTGCAAGGATGAGGCGAGGTCACGGCCGAGCGCCCGGTGGACTCCGGGGCACCTGGCGGTTATTAGGCCGCGGCGAGTGTCGGGAGGGCACCGATGGGGGTGGCGTGGGGCTCGCTCCCGCTGCAGCGTTCACGGAGGCAGGTGAGGGGCGGGCAGGGAGTCTCCCAGGGGCCTCTGACGGGGCACGGCCCGGGGCGCAGGGGCCAGGGACCTGCCGCTCAGGGATCCCACCCGGCGACGGGCTCACGGGGCCGGGGGACGCCGCGCACATTCGCCACGTGAGAGGCCGAGGCCCTGCGACCCGGCAAGGGCTCTCGGGTCACCCACGGGGTGCAGATCGGGCCTGGCCCCGTCCGAAGCCGTCGCCCCGCGGAGTGGCCAGAGGGTAGGGCGGCGTAAGGGAGGGGTAGCTGCTTGTAGGGCAGGAGCGTCAGAGAAGGTTCTCTGAGGGATCCGTGCAGAGGAGGCAGGGGGCCTCCGTGACGGGAGCGTGAAAATCGCAGAAGAAAAGGAGAAGAAAGTCGGGCCATTGTGGCAACTCAGGGGCTGATTGAGGATGAGGAGAATGCGGGAAGGTCGAGGGAGAACAAAGCTTGGGCCGATTCCCCGGGGCCCCGGAGGAGCCGCCAAGACGTTGGGAATCTGGGCCCCGGCGCCGGGGTTTCCAGGCCGGGGTGTCCCTGGCGGACGCGCTCGGGGCCGTGGGCCTGTCTGAAGTGACTATCCCTGCCCGCCGCGCACCGAGCCCGCCGTCAGACTCCGGGCACAGCAAGGGACAGACCCAAGTGCCGCCCCCGCTGACCTCACGTCCTAGGGGGTGGACGTGGACATGGAAAATCATCAGGGGTTGGTCAGTGATTCGGAGAAAACCAGTGGGAGCTCCGTGGCCTAGAAGTGGGGACGTGAAAGCAAAGTCAGGAGGGAGTCGGGAGACGAGTGGCCGAGGCCTAGCAGGTGCCCCCCGGGGGTCCCGTGCCCACGTGCCCATGTGCCCTCCACCCGTGGGACGGCCTGGGGGTCCAGGACCAATGGGTGCGTCTCATCCTCCCCAGGTCACCATCCTCAATGGCTCAGACATCCGGTCCCTCTACAACTTCTCAGGAGAACAGGTGAGGACGCCCCCACACCACCCAGCAGGCCTGCGGCCAGCCCATGGGCCCAGCCCAGCCTCCGGCCTGCCCCCGCTGTCCCTGCTGATCCCGTCGATCGAGCCCCTAGTCCTGACCCAGTGCTGCCCCTCTGTCTACCCCCACCCGCCTCAGATGGCCTCCTACTTCGGCTACGCGGTGGCGGCCACAGACACCAACGGGGACGGGTGAGCAGCGGGAGAGGGGCCCCCGCGACGCCCTTCCCAGGTCCGCGGCTGAAAAGTGGGAGTGGGGCAGAAACACGCAAGGAGGGTTCCCCTCCAGGCTTCGTGTCTGGATTCTCCTCAGGAGCAAGGAGGGCGCCGAGAGCCAAAGACCTCAAGGCTTCTCACCCGAGCGGGAGGGAGCGTGGGACGCGGGACGCCCAGGATTTCCCGGCAGGGGGACTGGGGAGGGGAGGTGGCAAGGCAGGGTACCCGGATGCCTGGGTTTTCCTCCTACCCGCAGGCTGGACGACTTGCTGGTGGGGGCACCTCTGCTCATGGAGCGGACGGCTGATGGGCGGCCTCAGGAGGTGGGCAGGGTCTACATCTACCTGCAGCACCCGGCTGGCATGGAGCCCACACCCACCCTGACCCTCACCGGCCAAGATGAATTTGGCCGATTTGGCAGCTCCTTGACGCCCCTGGGGGACCTGGACCAGGACGGCTACAACGGTGAGTGCCACGGGCCCAAGGAGCCGACGAGGGGTCTGGAGCCTGCGGCAGAAGGAGCCTGGGGAGACGGCGGCTAAGACACCCAGCCCCCCAGGGACCCCCGCAAGGAGGGGTGTAAACCTTCATCCCAGTGTCCCCGTCCTGGGACTTGAAGAGATCGGAAAACTGCGAACGACAGACGGGGAGGAAGAGGATCCTGGGCCCCGGGATCTGGTGGCGGAGACCCAGACCCCTGCATTCCCGGCCTCCTGACGGGTGTGTGGTGTGTCTTGCAGACGTCGCCGTCGGAGCGCCCTTTGGCGGAGAGACCCAGCAGGGAGTGGTGCTCATCTTCCCCGGGGGCCCCGGGGGGCCGGGCTCTCAGCCGTCCCAGGTTCTGCTGCCCCTGTGGGCAGCCGGCCACACGCCACACTTCTTCGGCTCTGCGCTTCGAGGAGGCCGAGACCTGGACGGCAACGGATACCCGGGTGAGTGGCGGCGGAGACCCCGCACCTTAGAACTGCAAGTCGCAGGCCCCCGCCCTCCGGAGCGCCGTCCTGAGCTCCTGGGGACAGCTCGAGGACAACGCCACCACCCCGCGCTGCCCCTGACGTGGGCCGCCCTTGAGCAAGACTCTAGAAGAGGGTTAGGAAGGAAGGATCTGGATGCGGGGCTTGCCGTAAGGGGTAGTGTCTTGACTCCTTGCAGATCTGATTGTGGGCTCCTTCGGTGTGGACAAGGCTGTGGTGTACAGGTATGGATTCCGGGGGGCGGCCTGCGGGCAGTGGGAACGGGGCATCTCTCAGTAGGGCTGGGGCTGGGGCTGGGGCTGGGAAAGGGCCCAAAGGACACCGGCCCCCTGGGGCTGGGGCATCGGCGTCCTCGCCCAGATCCCAGAGACCAGTCCTGGTTCTACTGACGCCGTATCCACTCTTGGCAGGGGTCGCCCCATTGTGTCTACCAGCGCCTCCCTCACCATCTTCCCCGCCATGTTCAACCCCGAGGAGCGCAGCTGCAGCTTGGAGGGGAGCCCCGTGGCCTGGTGAGCTGGGGCCCGGGAGATGCAGAGAAAGAGTCTGAAATGCCCCCGTGCGTGCCTGGGAGTGGGCGGAGAAGCCAGGGCTGGGAGGGGACGAGTGCGGGCGTCCCCGTCGGGGTGTTTGGGAGGTCGGTGGGGGACGGGGGCCTGTTCACGGCAGACGCCACCTTTCCCCTCGGTCTGCCTCCAGCATCAACCTCAGCTTCTGCCTCAACGCTTCCGGGAAGCACGTTCCTGATTCCATCGGTGAGGGAGTCGCCCTGAATGTCTGAGGCCTCGGGGTAGGGGACGGGGGCGCCGGGCACTTGGGCAGCCCCCTTCTCCCTGGACACGTGAGCAAGGGCAGGTTCTCCGACCGCGTGTTCCGGCCGCAGGCTTCACGGTGGAGCTCCAGCTGGACTGGCAGAAGCAGAAGGGGGGCGTTCGGCGGGCACTGTTCCTGGCCTCCAGACAGGCGACCCTGACCCAGACCCTCCTCATCCAGAACGGGGCTCGGGAGGACTGCAGAGAGATGAAGGTCTACCTCAGGGTACGGAGCGGCCCGGGGAGGCTGTCCCGCAGAGCCGGGGCCCCTCTTGGGGGGAAAAAAGGAGATTAGGAGACTCCAGTGAGAGGCTTGGGACTCTGGGGGCTGAAGAAGGGGGGGGGGGGCCTTCTGCCCGAGGACCTGGGAACCAGGCTCAGAAGCCAAGAGAATGGGCAGATCTGGACACCTGGCTTCCTGAGGCCGCCGAGGGGACAAAGAGGTGGGAGAGGCTCAGGAGCAGAGCCAAGTGCCCAGCGTCCCCTGACACCGCGAGCCCTGTCCCCCCCCACCCCAGAACGAGTCCGAGTTCCGCGACAAGCTGTCCCCGATTCACATCGCCCTCAACTTCTCCCTGGACCCCCGAGCCCCCGTGGACGCCCATGGCCTCCGGCCAGTCTTGCATTATCAGAGCAAGAGCCGCATAGAAGACAAGGTGAGGAGAGAGGGGAGGCCAGACGGGGGAGAGTGAGCCCTGGGCACCGGGGCCGGGCCCTGGAGGGGGAGCCTTCAGCGCAGGCGGAGGTCCGAACCCCCCCCCCACCAAGGCTGTCCTGCTCCCCAGGCTCAGATCTTGCTGGACTGTGGAGAGGACAACATCTGCGTGCCGGACCTGCAGCTGGAAGTGTTCGGGTGAGTGAAGGTGCCGCGGGCGGGGGGTCCCGGGTGCCGCGGGCTCACGCGGGACGGGGGGGGGGGGGGGGCTTGGAAGCACCTGGCACCTGAAAACAGAGTAGGGACATGCTATCAAGCCGTGTGACCTCGGGAAGTCACCGGTTCTCGTGTGCATAGTGGGGGTGATGGGGGTGATCGCAGCAGCTTCCCCGCCCTTCGGGGGGACCGAGTGGACCGTCACGTGGAGCATCGGGCTGGTGCTGGCCGGGCAGCTGGAGCTCAGAGCCGGTCTCTGTTGTTACCATGCTGCCGTCGGGGTGACGCGCTGTCCCGGCTGGGGGATTCGTTTCCCAGAGTGTCCCTCACCCCGCGCTTCCCCTCCAGGGACCAGAACCGCGTGTACCTGGGCGACAAGAACTCCCTGAACCTGACTTTCCACGCCCAGAACGCGGGTGAGGGCGGCGCCTATGAGGCCGAGCTGCGGGTCACGGCCCCTCCAGAGGCCGAGTACTCAGGACTCGTCAGAAACCCGGGGGTGAGAGGGGGCTCCGGGGCGTGGCTGGGGACGGGGCCTGCTGCGGGGCACCCAAACCTGACTCTACCCCCCCCCCCCCGCCCACCTCCAGAACTTCTCCAGCCTGAGCTGCGACTACTTTGCGGTGAACCAGAGCCGCCTGCTGGTGTGTGACCTGGGCAACCCCATGAAGGCCGGAGCGAGTGTAAGTCCGGCCCGGGAGGGAGGATCCGGGAGGGCAGGGGCCCACCTGTCCAGAGCGCGGCTGTGGCGTAGGGGAGGGGGCTGGAATCGGGGTGAGGCCAGCGCCCAGGCCAACGGGGCCCGCGGTCCCCTCTCCTCGCGCCGCAGATCTGGGGTGGCCTCCGGTTCACGGTCCCTCATCTCCGGGACACGAAGAAAACCATCCAGTTCGACTTCCAGATTCTCAGGTAGGGAGTGGGTGGGCTGGGCGCGTGGGGCATTCTCCCGCTGGGCGCCAGCAGCGCCTCAGTCTCCCCTCCGCGCCCTCGCCCCGCAGCAAGAATCTCAACAACTCCCAAAGCGAAGTGGTCTCCTTCCCGCTCTCGGTGGAGGCTTCCGCCCAGGTCTCCCTTAACGGGTAAGCGCCCGCCCAGGCGAACTGGGGCCTTGCGGGGCGGGAGGCGGCCCTGGGGAAGGTGTGGGAAGGAGCCCCTCCACCGCCCTCGGCACCACCCTCCTCCGCAGGGTCTCCAAGCCCGAGGCGGTGCTCTTCCCGGCGAGCGACTGGCGTCCCCGAGAGCAGCCTCAGGAGGAGGGAGACGTGGGCCCTGCTGTGCAGCACGTCTATGAGGTCAGGGGTGGTGGCGAGCAGCGGGAACAGAGGGCCGAGGCCAGAGCGCACGAAGGGAAAGAAGGGCCTTTATGGTGACCGGTGCTCGGACCAGAGGGAGGGCCTGAAAGGAGAGGGGGGGACGGGCAAAGAGCTGGGCAGGGTCCCCCGGAGACACAGCCCGGGGAGAGACCAGCCAGTTGAGTGACCTGAAAGGGAGGGTAGATGCCCTTCGGGGCTGTGGCCGCAGAGGACTTCATCTCTGCCTCTCCATGTCCTCTTCCACTTCCGAGCTGGGAGACGTGCAGCAGGGGGAGTGGGCCGCGGCGACCCGGGTCTCAGGAGGGCAATCTCAGGGTGATTGCGTCCCCCTCTCCCCAGCTCATCAACCAGGGCCCCAGCTCCATCAGCCGGGGTGTGCTGGAGCTCAGCTGTCCCCGGACCCTGGAGGGTCAGCAGCTTCTCTACGTGACCAGGGTTGAAGGCCTCAGCAACTGCACCAGCAGTCACCCCCCCAACCCAGAGAGCCTGGAGGTGAGAGGCCCGGAGACTGGCCTGGGCAGGGGAGGGACCGAGGCTGGGGAAGGTCGCTGGGGGCCTGGAAGGGCGGCAGCCTCCTCGGGGCTGTGGGAGGGAAAGGCCCTTGGATGCACGGCCCCAAGCACCCTTCCCTTCCGTCCGGGCCAGGCGTGCCGCTGGGGCCCACCTCTGCAGGCCTGTGTCCCTGGACCCTAAGGCCTGCTCCAGCGTTTGTTTACTCACGGGCAACATTTAATTAAACGAGGGTCTACGCGGCACACCGTTGCGGGCTTCGGAAACGCCTCGCCAGACAAGCTAACCAAGTCCCCGCTCTCGTGCAGCCGACACGTTATGTCGAGGATCAGTTGCACAGACAGTTAAAACTGAAAAGGGAGGGGCCCCTGGGAGGCTCAGGGGCTAAGCGTCTGCCTCCAGCTGGGGTCGTGATCCCGGGGCCCTCGGGTGGGGCCCGAGCCCCGAGTCAGGCTCCGTGCTCAGCGGGCGGTCTCTGCCCTCCCTTGCCCACGCCCACGTGCACGTGCGCACTCTCTCTCACATAAATATCTGGAACATTTGAAGGACTAAAATGAAATAAAATTGCAAAGGGAGAAAGGCAGTGAAAGGGATCGAAGCGCAGCGCTGACACGCAGGGCCTGGGGAACCGGAGACTGAGTTGGATCATGGGGGAAAGCCCGGCGAGGAGGTAACAGGTGCACCGAAGCCCCGGGACGCGGCTGCCGCTGCCTGCGGAGGCTCGGAGAAGAGCGTCCCAAGCGGCAAGGACGGGGCAAAGGCCCGCAGGCAGGGACGGGAGCGTAGTTCTCCACGGACACGTCTTGCAAACTCCGAGGACCGGGTTTAGTCGCGTCCTTCTTGGGCACTAAGCTTGGTGCCTCCCCCTCGGAGCGGGCGCGACGGGCACGAGCACAGGTCGAGAGGCGGGAACAGGCTAAGGTGCTCTGGCCCCAGGCGACGGCCCACTCGGTGCCGACTCGTGCCCGACGCGGGGGGCCAGGCGGCTCACGGTCTCTTCCTCCTCCAGTTGGATCCGGAGGGTCCCCAGCACCACCGGCTACAAAGACGGGAAGCGCCAGGCCGGGGCCCGGGCTCCTCGGGACCTCAGATCCTGGTAAGTCCTGCTGGGACGCGGGTCCTCAGAGGCACGGGAAGGGCACACGTCGGGTCCGAGCCTCTTCTCCCCCCCACCCCCCCAGAAATGCCCCGAGGCCGAGTGCTTCAGGCTGCGCTGTGAGCTGGGGCCGCTGCACCGCCAGGAGAGCCGAAGTCTGCAGCTGCATTTCCGAGTCTGGGCCAAGACCTTCCTGCAAGTGAGGGAGCCTTACCTTGACCTTACCCCGACCCTTGACCTCCGGGCCAGCCCCACGTACCCCCCTTCCCTGCTGCCCCCGCCACCTGGCCACCTCCTTTGGCGCATGGGACCGGGCCCTGCAGCTCCTGCAGCTCCCTCGCCCTCGGTAGACAGGGCTGCGTGTCCTTCGTGCCACCTAGTGACCACGCTGGGAGTGACAGCCTCCCCCTCCAGGCCCGCTCAGAGGAGGGAGACCTGGAGGGGGACCAGCATGCGGAGAATGCGGAAAACACAGCAGGAAGATGAGTCCGCAGTGGAGAGGCGAGGAGGAGACGAGGAAAGAGAAAGAGCCAGAAAGAGCCGTCACTTACTGAGCAGACGCTGTGGGCCGGGCGGCGGCCTGCGTGCTGGGCCCACATTAACGACTCCAAAAAAAAAATTGTTATCGAGCGTGTAGCCGCCTGATTACACGTTACTTAGTTATGTGTACTTAATTACACACTCGTTATCTCACGTAAGGATCACAGATACCCAGGAGAGAGTGAGCGCAAGATAGGGAAAGGTCACGGCCTGAGCCAGGTCACGGGAGCCCTCTGTCCTCTCGATCCCGAGGGGCCGCCCTGAGCACCTGTTCCCCACCCACAGCGGGAGCACCAGCCGTTCAGCCTGCAGTGCGAAGCTGTGTACGAAGCCCTGAGGATGCCCTACCGGATCCTGCCCCAGCAGCTTCCCCGAAGGGAACTTCAGGTGAACCTGGGCCGGAGGTCTGGGCCACGGAAGCTAGGGCTCGGAGTCCTGGGCCTGGCTGGCCCTGGGACTGGGATGTGTGGGGCTGGCCTTGCTATGGTAAAAAAAAAAAAAAAGAAAGAAAAAAAAACCCTTTACTGAGCATCCCTGTGTGCCAGGGCCCGTGCTAGGTCCCGGGGATAGAACAATAAGCAAGGTAAACAGTGTCTTCACTCCTGGAGCTCACAGTCTAGCAGGCAGTGAGAACACAGTGTGACAAGTGCCAGGATATTTATGGGAACACATCGGAGGGACACTTGAACTCAGCCTTGCAGGGCCAGAAAAGGCGGCCTGGAAGAAGCGATGTTTCGGCTCAGACCTGAAGAATAAATAGGAACCACCAGGCTAATCAGTCAGGGAAGGTGCCTTCTCCGGGGAGAGGGAGTCGGCAGGGGGAAGACCCAAAGGGGAGAGACGATAATGCCCATTTTAGGAATTTAGACTTTGAAGTCCAGAGTTCTGTTAGCTCCACACGGAGGTGCGATGGCAAGTGGGAGCCAAGGGTAGGGTGAGGCGAACTAGTGGCTTTCCAGTGACCTCTCCTGATTCGTCCCGTAGGTGGCCACGGCTGTGCAGTGGACCAAGGCGGAAGGCAGCCACGGCGTCCCGCTGTGGATCATTATCCTTGCCATCCTCGTTGGCCTCCTGCTCCTAGGTCTGCTCATCTATATCCTCTACAAGGTCAGCCACGTCCCGTCCCACCTGTGACTTGGCCACTCCCTCATCAGGCTCTGCCCCGGACCCAAGGTCGTCCCAAGCGTCTATTTTTTTTAAGATTTATTTATTTATTTATGATAGACAGAGAGAGAGAGAGAGGCAGAGACACAGGAGGAGGGAGAGGCAGGCTCCATGCAGGGAGCCTGACGTGGGACTCGATCCCGGGACTCCAGGATCCGGCCCTGGGCTGCAGGCGGCGCTAAACCGCTGAGCCACCGGGGCTGCCCCTGTCCCAAGCGTCCGTTGCCAGACCAGTCCTCCAGCCACACGGCCCCTCCTCTGCCCTGGCCGCAGGCACACCATCCTGATCCGGCCTGGGGGATCCTTCCCCCACCGTCTACAGCCTCTGGCTTAGAACGAGTCTCTTGACTCAAGCTGCTAAATTTGCCTGGGCTTGCAAAATCAGTGCCACTCACGCGGGGCGAATAGGTGGCATTTGTGCTCCCCCTTCCTCCAAGAGCTAACGGCGGCCATCACTCATGGGCCATCCCCTGGAAGTGGCCTCAGAAGCCCTCTGGAGAGGCAGCCACAACCAGGCAATCAGACCTAGAACTTGAATTCAAAGCTGTTTGCCGTCCCCGGCCTGCCTGGGGGCAGGCCTACAGCACTGATGCAAGAGCCCCTTGTGCCAAAGGCGCTCCCAGCTCCGGCCCTCCTGGCGCAGCGGACCTGTCGGTGGTCGCGCAACAGACAGGATGGAGGCCCCTGCTGCACAGCGGGGAGATTGGAAGCACTAGGGTCCTCTTCGTTTCCTCTCGGGATAAGATCTGGGGAGAGGTGGAGGCCAGGATATCTAAACTCTCCCTCCTTATCCCCTCATTAGCTCGGATTCTTCAAACGCTCCCTCCCATACGGCACCGCCATGGAAAAAGCTCAACTCAAGCCACCTGCCACCTCTGATGCCTGACCCCTCCCGAACCCAGACTCCCAATCCTCAAGGCCCAGTCCCCCCACCCTCAGTCTACTGACAGGGAGGGGGCTGGGCACTTCCTGAAGGTGCTGAGGGCCAGGGAGAAGCTCCTCTCCCAGCCTAGAGACATACTTGAAGGGCCAGAGCCGGGAGGCGAGGAGCTGGGGATCCCCTCCCCCCATGCACTGTGAAGGACCCTCGTTTACACACGCCCTCCTCATGGGTAAGGGAACTCAGATCCAGGGACAGAGGCCCCAGCCTCCCTGTAGCCTTTGCATTTTGGAGAAAGTTTCCTGAAAACAACTTGGAACCAGACCTGGGGAATCCGATCCCAGTTCTCTGGGCCAGATGTGCCACCAGGACTTCCTGTCCAGCTCCAGCCTGCAAAGATCTATCCTCAGTCTTGCCAGAGATCCACGGGAAGCCCCCAGCTAAGAACCTGGAACCTGGGGAGTGAGACCTGGAAACTCTGGACAGCCCCCACCCCGGTGGGCCAACAAGGAACACTAACCGTGGATGGTGCCCCAGGCCCAGCTCAGGACAGATCCCAAACAAGGATCACGCTGGCTCAGAACCAGCTCCAAGAGGACTCAGAACTCTCACGGGGCCAGATCGAACCTGGGGCCCGGGGTTGATCTGGGACCCAGACTCAGACGTTGGTAACCTAACCAGGCAGATCCAGGACTACATCTGAGCCTGTTCCAGACCTGGGCCTGGAGGCCCGATCCACCTCTGACTTGGGAGAAGTCAGGAATTGCCCAGGACCCTGAGGGGGCCACGATGGTAACAGATCTGGAACCTCGGCCTGGCCAGATGCAGGCCCTCCCCGTCCCCCAGAAAGAGGGAAGCCCACTGTCCTGGGCCTGCAGGATTTGGGTCCTGCCCACTAGCTGCACTGACGCTGCCCCTTTCTCCCTGCCCAACTTCCCCTCACCTCAGCTCCGGACATCCGGGACTTATTTAAACTCTGTTGCAAGTGCAATAAACCCGGCCCGGTGCCCCCACTGACCAGAGCTGGAATTTGTGTCCTACCCTATTCTTTCCAAACCCATCCTGGAACCAGACGGCTTGATGTGTAGGAAATGTCTGTCTGTCGCAGCTTCCTTCCTTGGGATGGGGCGTATGACCCTCCCTCGGGAACTCTGGATCTACCTGTTGGGTTCCCTTCTCTTAGGTGATGAGATGATGGAAGGGGTGGAAGGAGGCCTTGATTCCTCCGCCTGTCACCCAGCCCCTCCAGATCTGGTTCCCGGCACCCCCCAGAGAGAAGAAAAAGGATCCCTTCTCTTTGGGTTTGAGCATTAAGGGGAAAATGCAAAGACCACTCACCTGGGCTTCTCTAAATCCGAATAATGAAACGGCGTGAGGGAAAAGGCCCCAAAATGGAATTAGAAGAAAGCCAGTTAGGGTTTCGTTTTGTCCTGTTTTTACTACTTCTTGTGTGCTGGTAGGTAGAGGGGGTATTCGTTCAAGGGTTTACATACATTATCTCATTTAATTTCTCTCTCAAGGATCCCATGAGGCAGGTACAATTAGCCCCATTTACTCGGGGGAAAATGGAGGTCCCGAGGGGTTATGTAACTTGCCCAAGGTCACCCGGTGAGTGCCAGAGCAGGGCTCGGTCCAGCCTTGTCTGACGGTGACGGCCTGGTAATAACCAGCACCAGCACGCCAGGCCTTAGGCCCTGGGAGAGGAGTCCAAGTGAGGGAGCCCCGCGGGGGCCTCCGTCTTTTCAAGGCGGGTCTCTCCCAAGGCCAGGGAGGAAGCCAGGGGGCCTGAAATTCTGGATTCTCCGAGGCAAACAGGGCCCTGTCGCGCTAGGCCAGGAATCAGCCACCGGAGGGCAGCATAGCCACAGATTTATGGGAATTTGGGGCGGGAGCGCCTGGAGTCCGTCTCCCCCTTCGCCCCATCACCCAGGCTGCTCTTATTAACTTAGGCTTCGGCCCAGCAGCGCCTGCATCACCTTAAAAATACCTCTCCTGAGAGATCGAGGCTGCTGCACGCTCCAGCCTGTGACTTCCTGATAATCCTGTGCCTCAGGACTTCTTTCCAGAACCTATAAGTGAAGAGGGACTGATAAGGGGGCAGAGACCTAGTGAGGCCAGGAGCCGCCGGGTACTTGCACGGATGGCAGGCGATGCAGAAGGAGGCACTGGGAACCCTCAAGGAAGATCTATCCCTCTGCCGGGGCGGGAGGAGACTGGTGGCCAGACCCAGGCCCCGGGGGCCAGAGCCGAGGTGCCCTCGCCGAGGTGGGGGGGGCAGGAGGAAATGAGGAGGGGAAGTGAGCCAGTACCGGGTGCTGTTACGGGCATGTCTGGGTAGTGCCTGTGCCTCTGGGTCTCAAAGTGGCAGGGTCGCTCCTGAGGGTACGCGGGACAGAAGGGAATTCCTGGGGCTCAGACCTGGCCTGCAGTTGCATCTAGTCCCGGCCTCCTGCCCCTGACCGGGACTCTCGGGCTGCCCGCTGTTTCCCCTTGCACACCTCCCGGCCCTTCCAGAGGACGTCTGCCTCGCGTCCCGAGATGAGCCGTCCAGGGGGACAGGAAGGCCAGGGAGGCCGGGGGCTGGAAGGCCTGAGCCCTCTCCTCGCCTGTTGGTGCGCCGAAGGGAAGGAGGCCCAGGGAAGGGAGCGGAGCAGCTGGGGGTGCGGGGAGGGGGAGGGGGCTCAGGAGAGGCAGCTGGCAGGCGGGAAGCTGATCTGGGGGTCTCAAGTTTCTTGACATCAATTAGAGCAACCGGCCTGGGCTCATTAGTAGCCCGGGGTGCAGGGCTCATCAATAATGAATGCACCCTGCACACTGCCCCCCCCCATACCCGGCTGCCTGCAAGGTCACCCCGCCCTCCAGCCAGCTGCCTCACCTGGGTAAGTTCAGCAACCCCTCTTCTGGGACCTCCCTAACTCAGAGTCCCCGGGGGCAGTGTGGGAGGGTGGACAACGTGGAGGCCAAAGGGGTCTCTATCACCCATCAACCACGCCTGATGCTGACTGTTGTTTGTTCCGAGTCCACCAAGAAGGGGAAAGAATGGGGGGGGGCGTAGGAGGATGGACGACAGGGCCTGGGAGAAGCAGGCTTTGTGATATAGGGTTGAACAACAGGGTAGCAGGCTGGAGCTAGAGTCAGAGGACTCCCTCTGGTTGGCTGCGAGACCCTCCGTCCTCTCCCAAGGCCAGATCTGGGCAGCAGGGCCCTGAGGTCTCTGGGCCGCCGGGTCAGAACCAGACCAAGGCATCTGCCCCCCCCCCCCCAGCAATCTCTTGCCCTTAAGCTGGAACATCTTTTTTCTTCAAACCAGATCAGTGAGGTGAAGGCAAGAGACTGCCGAAGTCCAGAATCGGGAACTTGAACTTCTGGTACCTTCATTAGCCATCTAGTCCCAACTTCCCTACTGAACGCCCCGAATACCAGCCCGCAATCCCCTTCCCCGCCCTCGCTGTGCGCTGTATGGAGACACCAGCTCGTACCCTTCCACCAACCTCTTCCTCCCCGCCTCCACCCGCCTTAAATCCCAAGTGTTCTAGTTCCCAGTCACACCTCCTTTCCCTCTGGCTGGGGCCGGCCTGAAGCTGGCTGCATGGCATTCTGGGAAGTCCTCCGGCCGCCCTCCCTCTTGGGGCAGGTATAGACAGGTCCAGGCTGCAGCAGCTGCATCTTCCCCAGACACCGCACAGACTCCCAGGCTCCAGCCTCATGCTGGGGTCCCCGTGGCCCGCCTCCAATCGGTCCTCCTGTTGGTCCCTAAGATCCATGCGGTACAGCCCCCTGACACTACATCCTCCTCTGCCCCTCAAACACCCCCCGAGTCCTCTTGGACCCCTGCTCACCTTAGTGGGGGATGCCCTGCGGCCTGAGGCCTGAGGCCTGCTCCTACCCGCCCCCTGCCCGCTGCCCCCCAGCTCAGGGCTGCACAGGGCTGAGCCTCCGCTCTGGGTCCTGTATCCTCTTCTGGTTGCCCCGGGCTCAGAGCTGCGAGCTTCTCCTTCCACCTCTCGGAGCCCACGGATGGGATCTCTTCCCCCCAGACCTTCCCGGGGGGCCCCGGCGTCTGACCCCCAGCCGGAGCTCCACCTGGGATCTTGGGCCCCACACGCAGGGTGCACGGTTCACCTCGGAAACCCAGCCCCCTGGCATCCTGCTCCGAGTCGGAGGAACAAAGGACCTCGGGTTCTCTGCACCCCCTGGCACCCTGCAGAGGCCCCGGGGGGGGGGGGGGTCCCACCCAGGCCACAGCCGCCCCCCCATCTTTGCTCAGACGCAGCCCTTCCCGGGGCCCCGGCACCCCCGTCGCCCGCGCGCCCGGCAGACGCCCTGTCCCGGCCTGGCTGCGGGGACCCCGCGAACCCAGGAGCCGGGGCGCAGGGGGACCGCAGGGGGACCGCGGGCGCCCCGCCCCTCCCCTCCCCTCCCCTCCCCCCCGGCGGCCCCTCCTCCCGCCTTCACCTGCTGCGGGCTCCGCCCCCGCCCCGCCGGCCTCCGCTCCGCCCCCGGCTCCTCCCCGGTACCCCAGCCCGGCCTCGCGGCCCCCGGGACACAGCGACGCGGAACCCCGGGCGCCCGGGTCCCCAGCATGATCCTCGGTGAGTGCGCTCGCCCCGGCCCCCGCCCCCGCCCCCGCCCCCGCCCGCCGCCCCTCCCCCTGCCCGGGCCCGGACCCCTGGGCGCTGCGCTGCGCGGGCGAGCGGGACCCCCGCCCCGGAGGCGCCGCGTATTCATGAGGCTCATGAATATCCATGTCGGGCCGAGGGGCTGGGGGAGGCGGCTGGGCCTGCGGAGCGCCGCGAGGGTGCGCCCCCCGCCCCCACCCCCACCCCCACCCCCACCCCGCACCCGCACCCGCACCCCCGGGCCCAGGGCTGCGGGAAGGAGGACCGGGCGGCGGAGCAGGGGCGGGGGCGGGGGCGGGGGCGGGCGTCCGGGGCCTGCGGGCCTCCTGCCTCCGCACCACCCTGCCCCTGCACGCCGGGACCTGCCCCGCGCCCGCTCGGCTGCCTGCCGGGGCCCCGCTGCCCGGCCTCCTCCTCCCTCCTCCTCCCTCCCCCTCCCTCCTCCTCCCTCCTCCTTCCCCCACCGCCACCCCCACCCCTGCCTTGGGCCGGGGGCGCGCCCGCCAGGGGCCAGTCGGGAGGGGGCGGGGAGCCCCGGGGCTCGGGCGGCCCTCCAGCCACCCCATCCTCATGACCTACATGGGAAGGGAGCCCGGGTGGGGGAGGAGAGGGACCAGCGGGCCTTGGGGTGCTCCGGGCTCCCCGACTCGCGGCTGGGGGGCTCCAGGCCGCTGCCTCCTCAGAGGTGGGCAGGCCCGTTCGGCCCCCTGCCCCCTGCGGCTCCCTGGGCCCTGCTCCTGGTGGGAGACGCCCCCACACCTGTGGTCCCCTGCCCTCCCTGGGGACACCCGGCCCCCCGCCTCGGCCCTCGGCTGGGTCCCTCTGCCCTTTGCCTCCCTGGCTCTTTGGCTTCCCCTCTTTCTTTGACCCCTGCTGACCTCCCAGTGGCGGCCCTCCTCTCCTTCACCCCCTTCCTTCGGCTCTTCCTGCCCCCCTCGGGCCTCTCCTCCCCGCCAGGCTCCGCACCCCTGGTCCATGAATGAGGCAAGGGAGGCATGAATGACTCGTCGTCGCCTGCCTCCCTCTCCCGGGTGGCTCCAGCAAACAAGAGACTCCTCGCCCAGCTGGGAAGCCTAGCCCCACCCGAAGGGGACCCTCAGCCACACATCCTGCACTCAGGCCCCCAGAGCAGAGGCTCCACATTCCTCTGGCCTGTGCAATCCCTGCACGTTGGCGCCACCGGGGACACAGGCCCCACCCTGGGCACAGGCCCCAGGGGCAGCATCATGCTTCTCGGGGAGCGCGAGCAGTGCTTCCCCTGGTCAGTGGGCTCTAACGCCGACCTTAGGGACCTGCTCAAACCTGACCAAGACCCCACCACGGGAGAAATGCCCGGGTCCACCAGTTGGACCCCAGCACATCTCCCTGGAGGACACTGTCCTTGATTCCTTCCTTGTGCCCGC